CACATGCTTGAATTATTATTATTATTATCATCATCATCATCATCTCTTGTCACAGGTTTATTTCCTGGTATTCCTTTTTCTTGAACCAGTGATGCACCTCACCACTCAGGCTTCAAGCTTCGCACTGTAGCACTTTCCGTAGTATGTGTGATGTTCCCAGGATAGCTGTTTTTTGCAGTGAATCTATGGAGTGCTTACCACGAATTAGTTCCAAATATTTTCTCAACCCTCTCGTGACTGTACCCGTGGCTCCAACAATTACTGGTATCACAGAACATTTCATATTCCACATTCGCTGAATTTCGATTCTTAAATTTTTATATTTTAATTTCTTCTCTGCTTCTTTTTGTACTACATTCCTGTCCGATNATTATTATTATTATTATAGCAGCCGGGATAGCGTAGTCGGTATAGCGACCGGCTACGGGCTGGACGACCAAGGGATTGGAGTTCGAGTCCTGGTGGTGGTAAGAATTTTCACTTCTCCACGTTGTCCAGACGAGCTCTGGGGTTCACCCAACCTCCTATCCAACGGGTATCGGGGGCTCTTTCCCTGGAGTAAAGCGGCCGGGGCGTGAAGCTGACCACTCACCTCCAGCTAGTGCCGAGTTCAAGAAAATGTAGATCTATATATCCACTCCCCATACGCCTTCATGACGTAGTGCTTAATTAGTTAAGCACAGGGACAGCTTTACCTTTATTATTATTCTTGTGGTATTTTATGTAATGTTCGTAGGAGCCGAAATCAAACACACAGAGTCTGGATACTAAACTGCATGTTTACCGGTAGAACATGACACTTCAATTAAGAACGGAGGGAGGTCTCTTAGCATAATAACAACCAGTCACCTGAAGAAAAGGGTTAAAAGAACACGCGATAAGTCGTATATCGTATATTGGCGTATAACCTAGATGTCGATAATTGATGTTTATTAATTGTTTATTTAGTGACTACTTTAATATCTAAGATTATACAGCAGAAAAGGAATGGTCGATCAGTGAATGAAGAATTTTGAAGTAGGTATAAAGATGCGGCAGTGGGCTCATGTAAAACACTATCCTTGTATTTGCTTAGGGAGTCTAGTGAACACTAAGGACATCTTCAGTCAGGATAGTAGGTCTTCGGGTCGAGATGTGAACCCTGAACTTCCTGATTAGTAAGCAGGACTTGAACATTGAGTTACAATGTACAGTGTCCAAAGTAGGCTTCTGTGTAGCTCAATTACTCAATAAAGTTTTCCTCAGAAATCATTAGGGCACCATTCGATAGCAAATATTTTCTTACAGCTTCATTGTGTTCTGTCTTGAGGAATGTTTGGAGCATTCCCCAGAACTGGTTACTGTCTTCCGGGACGGGACACCATATCATTTTGTTGAGAGGTACCAGAGAATTAGAAGAACTTGCTGCTGCTGCTATCTTGCTCCGAAAATCTGGAACATTTCTACCAGACTAAACATCAACACATCCCAGAAGACGATATTCTTCACAGCCACCGCCGGGGGAACCTCAGGTCCCCTGTTCCTCGGGATATTAGTCAGTCGCCAGACACAGCGACTGCTCTGCCTCAGAGCAAGTAAGAATCAAGTCGTATTCACGAAAAGGACGCCTCTCTGTGGCGCGGAAGCTTTCAGTCCTACTCACTGTCACTTAGTAAATTTGGAATATGCCCTTCTTCAAGTAGGAGAACTGTTTACGATTTAAGAATTATGGTGATTCCCAATACTGATGGAACTAAGACCCCCTAAAGTAGAAATAGGTACTAAAAATTGGTACCTGCCAATATAGGAAGCGAAACTATAACCAATAACAGCCATTTCATTTTTATATTAATATATCATGAACTTTTATTGAACAGTAGACCTCTCTCTCATGATGGGTTCTTTCGCAGACCTTCGTTTAAATACCAAGGCTATTTGATATTGCTGGATATATTTCTATATTTTATTGTGGTAAAAGCACTGAATTTTTGGATTAATACTAGAGTGGTTAGCTACTTGAGTATTGTGAAGTGCAATGACAAATATTACAACCTTTTTAAGTCATATTTCAAGCCAAACTACATAAATTGTACAGTCTAGTCAGTTGATTTTTAAGATAGGCCTAACTTAAACGTGGCTATGGATACTTGTTATATGCTCCAAACAGAGCAAGGACACAAGTTTTCGTCTGTCGGAGAGAGGAATATTTTGTTCTAGGCCAATATTGGTCAGACTTGGCGAAATTTGACTATTCTTGACAGAGTATTGATTTCAGGCAGATATTTGAAAAGTTACGTAATTGGGCTGAAGATTTAGAAACTTATAATTGATATTTCTGATAAAGTGTTTGATGTAAATATATAGGCATATGAGCGTGAACGGTTTGGCGTGTCTACTGCTATTTCGTCAACATTCAAGTTTCTCATATGTCCTAAAAATCAAAGTCAGTGTTCGTTCAGAACCTCGAAGTAAATATGATCATGGCTGTCAAAAACCGTAACACGAAATCTCATAAGTGTTTTCTCTTTGTAGTAACACTTAATAATAATAAACTAAAGTCACCATATTTCGGTTAGGCGCCTAATTTCGGATAGCTTGGTGTTTCAGGTACTACTGGCAACAGTGCTGTAGCGGCTGTAGTGTATGTGTTCCTTCCAATTCTGATGTAATATTTTTGCTTAGAGAGCTAAGGTTTCGAAACCATACGTGAGTTTTAACTTTCACATTGTTTGCATGAATTTAACTATATGCATTGTAACATATATACCATGTGTTTCCATTGCTTCAAAAGCTTGAATTCCCCGTTATACTGCAATGTTTGGAGTAGTAATGGGTTTTCTAATTACGAACATTTAACATGATTCCGAATTTCGAGCAGCCGAAGTTAGGAACCTTAATGGGTATGGCCTTGGTGTTTTATTCATTCTTATGTGGCTGATACTGACAGAAAGGAATGTACTAACAGAAAGGAATGCACTAACAGAAAGGAATGCACTAACAGAAAGGAATGCACTAACAGAAAGGAATGTAATAACAGAAAGGAATGCACTAACAGAAAGCAATATACTAACAGAAAGGAATGCACTAACAGAAAGGAATGAACTAACAGAAAGGAATGCACTAACAGAAAGGAATGCACTAACAGAAAGGAATGTAATACGGGCTCCATGAGATGTGCAGTGAAGGCTGTGAGAGGTAAGGAAATGGGGTTCTTGAAAGACCTACTTGTGGAGTATCACACTCGAATTTGAATTTGAATTGTCACTCGAAATTATTTTCTTTGTAAGTTGATGTTAACTTCTGCTGAGGTGTATATGATTATTTTGCACATTCATGTAATTAATATTTTTAGATATGTTTGTTTCTCTTTATAGAAAAAAGACGATTGCACATGCTACAGACCCATGTTTATATTTTCCCTTCACTTTTTATAGCCTTAGAATCTTATGTTACTTTTCTCAAATTGGGTTACCATTTTCTCGGATCATTCGTTTGCAACGCCTTGGCTTTTATTTAATATTTGAATACATGCTGCACTTGAGATCATAATAAGTACCGGTACTAATTCTCACAGTGTATATACTAATATTAAGCCACCTGAACGCAACACCGTTATTTCAAAAAAATATTGCTCCTATTTTAAGTATTCGATTTATGACGTCACTGTTGTTATATTAGGCTCAGTTTTAAAACCGAGTTTATGTTATATTCATATTATTTATTTTTTTATTCAAACTCAGTGGATTTTTTAACCAAAGAAATGTATAAAGGAAATGAGGTTTCATTTCTTAAAAACTTTCCATCTCAATGTTAATCTTTCCTTCCTGTGATATAGGTATAACGATGAATCTGTGAGAAGAAGAAACACGACGATGCCCCCATAACAAAATTAGTGCCAAATATGACTACTACAAAATTATATGTTAATCCTAATTAATACATATATCTCCTGTATATAAAGTGGTGTAACTTAACATTCGTTTGTTGTGGCATAACTCTGTTCAACTGACACTCATCTTTCGCTGTATACGACCTAGCACTTTAATAAAAAATTTAGAAAAATGTAATTCTAAATGCCAACCCCGGTTATCGTGGTACGTAAGGCAACATCAGGCCACCTGCGCGCAGCCATCTCGGGTTTAAATTTCGCTCGGAGAATTGATCTTCTACCACGTTTTTCTGTGAAGGCTTTACAAATATCTGAACGGCAAATTTATGGTAACTTACTATTAAAATAATACATCAATTTCCAAGGTCGAGGCTTTAGAAACCGAGTCATGTTAGTACAACTACAGCCTCCGCTGTGAAGGATATTTCACTGCAAATCACAGGTTAAGATGAATTTACTTCATAATGCAATTTAATACAAATTATATAATGCTACTGTACATTTTATTCTCTTTTAAAGAATTCTTATTTTTATTTCATTTATTTTAAAAGAATTTTGTCGTCTTCGGTGATTTTTGTCGAAATGAAAACCAATTAAATTTTATATTTCGTGTTCAGATTCGATTAAAACAAAACAAAATCGTGATTCTTATAAGTAGAAGTCGATAAATTGATTAATTAATTGACCTTAATATGCACTAATTAGCATGCAGGCTTTGCCAGATTACGTAGAAGGGACTTCTTGGGGTGGGGTGAGACAGACCACTCCGTACGTAGGGCAGGAATTAACCTATTGTAGAAACCCCGGATGACAGTTAATGAATGTGGAGCGGTCGATGGAATGAGAATTGGTAAAGGAAACCAAAATACTAGGAGAAAACCTGTCCCAGTGTCGCTTTGTTCACCACAAATCCCGCATGACCTGACCTCGGCTCGAACTTGGGTCGCCGCGGTGGGAAGCCGGCGACTAACCGTCTGAGCTTTAGCACGGCATACAACTGACTTAGTATGTTATCTTTTGTTTATAATGTTTTTTTTTTTCATTTGTTGTCCCATTATACATTGTGGTCCTTGTTTCTATGGAAACTGAGTGGAACAATTGGCATCGCGTTGAATCGAATAAAATGTGCAGCTTCATCAGATGGTTTTTATTAAACTAAATAGGATGAGGTAAAACTGTCTTTGTACCTAATTAATTAAACACTATACCATGAAGATACATGTGGGAGTAGAGGTATGGCTCCATCATTCTTGACCTCGGCATTAGATGTACTTGTGTTGAAAGTTAAGGATACAATAATTATAAAGATATCTGTAAAATTTAGTTCTTAAGATTGAGCCTAATGGGTGTAATGTATTGATTGGCGAGAAGAGCCAGTATAGTTCACTCGATTTAAAACTAAAAAATTAGTAAACAAGGACTTTTCACCTCTGTTCCTGTTCAGTAAATTAAACACACTTAAGTTTCAAATATAGGGCATATTACATTTAGAATTTGGTAAACTGAATTTGAAACAAATATTTTATTTAGTTGTGAGTTATTCTAAATGCAAGTGAAGTAAAACTGAAGTGTTTTGCCCATATATGTGTGCATCTTGTCTCAGGCAACACACAGAACAGGTAATCTTACTGTAAGAGTCTCACGGACTGACATGTACTTCTGCAGCCACTAAACTCCAAGGTTCAGGACATTCCACGAAAGCTGCCACTTGCTCAGGGGATCAATACAGTCTTTCGTTTTTTTTTTGGAATCTGTCACTATGTTGACCAAATTAAACCATTCTGAGTCAATTCAATCAAGTTCACACATTCACACAATATTTGTCTGTTACGATAGATGTGTCCCTCTTGTACGTAAGCACCACGCGATAGAGTATAAAATAGCTTGGAAGTAAACCTCCAAACATTATAGACTTCGAAATAAGAAGGTCGACTTCTAGCTCCGCCTTTCCACCATTTCACCTCCTGCATGCATTAGATGGGAAGTTAGACGGGCCCCACAGCTTTTCTAGAGGCTTTTGAAGAGAAACTATATATTTCCCAAACCGGGCATGGATCACCTACCATTCACTGTGTAGGCAGTCACTTCATAGACGTAGTGATTATTGTTACCTATTTCTCTAAGAGTAATTTTAATATTATATTCCTATTTAAGCGTAGATGTCTCAATTTGCCTCTTCTCTTGAGGTTTTCCAATCAGAATTTTATATGTACTTCTCGTTTCATCGATACATGCTAAATGCCTCCTCTAAATTATTGGTTTCATTTCGTTACCTCATGGAATGTTTAAAGAACATTACAACATTTTGAAGTTAATTATTAAGTAATTCTTTTCAGTTTTCTGTTACTCCATCTCTCCTAGATTAAACGTCCTCCTAGCACTTCGTTCTCGAACACTCCAGTATGTTCTTTCTTCAGAACAGACCTACCCAAAGGAATAAACTACACTTATTTCAGTGAGGCTCTCTCAAACACCCCCTCCCCACACAAAATGTCTGGCCTCTTCTGTCTGAGAGCTCAGTGAAATATTTGTTCAGTTCTTGTACATGTCGCAGAGGACCTTCTCCATCGGAGTGTTGCCGATGGTCCGCTGAAAGAATATCTGTTCAATTCGTCCAGTAGTAACCTGCCTAAGCAGTGGTAGCATTAGGAGCAATCTGCCGAAACGCGCTGCCTGTCCAGGGTAATGCCCCCTTGTGTGCTGACCCAGCATCACCTGTGCCTGATCTTGCAGATTTTCCACCTGCGCCGGGTCCTTCAGGCCTCGTGTCTCTGTAACATAAATCGGTCAGCTGCAATTCTCATTGCTGTAATACAATCGGAAGATTCTGCATGGATATTAGCACAATTTTCCACTAGACACGATTCTGATCTTGTTGCGTTTAATTCATATCCTTCTTAGTGGGGTGGGACTAAGTCCCTTGTACTGTGGCCACTTCTGGCCTATTGTACCAGCCCAGATGACAGATCAGGGTGATTATGGAGTAATTGGCGGAATCAAGATCGACAGGGGAAACCGAAGTACTCGGAGAAAACCTGCCTCAGCGCCACTTTGTCCACCACAAATCCCACTTGCCTAGACCCGGGATCGAACTCGGGCCGCCGCAGTGGGAAGCCAGCGACTAACCGCTTGAGCTATGGCGCCGCCCATCCTTACAACTTACTTTTCTATAAAACAAATTGATATAGTAAGAATGCCATTTTACTTCCGTCTTCCAAATAAAGCATATCCAGGAGGTATCCCAAAAATTGTTTTTAAATTTGTATTTGTCTTTTTCCTTAAGCCAATGTAGTCCATTTTGCAGACATATCACGTGATGAATTTTACGCCTATCCATAAGCATTAAATTGTTTACGGCGAAGACATCCTTTTGCCTCCATAGGAGACGAAGACGACGAGGAACCAAGACTAGTTTCAAATTCACAGGAAACGGCTTTAACTCTAGAAAGTTTACGATGACGATGGCGATGACGATGGCGATTGCGATGACGATGACGATGATGATGATAACAATTTATTTATCCTACATCCATTTAATACTAGTGTTCGTTCAGTCCATTCGCGGCCTTCCAAGCATTTACTTTGCAGCAGGGTTCCTCATCAAAATTCTATATGAATTTCTTCTTTTCCTTATCCAAGCTGCATCTTCCAGTGTCCGTGATTCTATTACATAATAGAATTGTATGACATATCAGTCATAAATTTCTGCGTCTTTAAATTCGATCTCTCAATTTTTTCATCTCCCTCAGGGCCACGTTTTTCATAATACTTGATCCCAAAAACCTGTGCGCCTTCCCAAAATACGAAACGACTAGTAAAAGAAAGACTCATCTCGAGCGCTGTTTCTTCTCTTATGATTTTTCAAATATATTTTTCCAAACCCTCATTCCTACTACATGTTCCGCCAATCACAAACTCCTTTGAAGAAGTCTAGTCCGTGGAAATTCAACCGCCATTTCTGAAGAACATGTCGTCTTCATCTCTGGATCGAAGAACAAACGAAACAAGAAACTAGTATGAAAAATTTGACTTTCAACGAGCTACACAGCGTTTTCTCCCAGAGGACAGAAATCTTCATAACCAACGCTGTGCTAACTCCAAATCCACATCCTTCTTTATTTAACCATTTCCGTATTCCGTATTGAGGGGGGGGGGTGTTTCCCCATGTACTTAGACCGGTTACTGGTCCATTGTGCGTCCCCCTTTAATTTCTACAGTCTCCATACCCTACAGGTACTGGTGCTTACTATCAGCCCCTTTCTGCCAGCGAGGTTCCAACCTCTTACTGGCAGTGGTATTTAATAGTTAGTCCCTTTCTGTCAGCGAGCTCGTCCCTCCTCTGGCTGGGGTTTATTTAACCATTCTAACAATGTTAGGCGTAGGCTACAAACTGTGAAGCTCTTGTTATAAAATCGTCTCCAACCAGCACCTGCCTCTCTCTGAAATGTCGAAATGTTCTTAGAATTTATGTTCAGTCAGCACAAATCTATGTTGCTGTGATTAAATCATCAAGAACAATTGTGAATTATGAAACTGAGTTTCAGGTTAAGTATTTATTAAATGAATTGATTTGATTAACTCTCCTGTCAGTGATATTACCTCTTGGAAGTTTTGCTTGTAATTATGTAATTTTATCCACCATACTTGCTACATGCTCGGCCAGTCTCAACATTCCAAAACCTCACCAAAAACAGACTTCTCGTTAGAGTAGGTAGCACTACTGCTTCTTATTTTGGAGGTCCAGGGTTCAAGTCGCGGCCCTGTGATCGGCTAGCCTAACTGAGATTTTTATGTATTCCTCAGTACATCCAGGCAGATTCCAGGATATTACCTCAAATTGTGTCATTATTGTTCCTTCCACATTCTTTCTGATTTATTCTCCACTAATCACCTCACCATTAGATGTCATACAGAAAGAATTACAGATAGTGGACTTACTTACTTAGGCCTACTTACTCATGGAGCTGAGCCCTTGTTGAGGAGCCGCCAATTCTGAAACTATTCAAGAATTTCCCTGCATTATATGGAATCCGGAAGTTCATTACCGTGTTCACAAGAACCCTCCACTGGTCTCTTTTCTGAGCCATGTCAATCGAATCCATACCATACCATTCTATATCTCTAAGATCCATTTTGCTATTGCCCACCATCCTACACTTTTGTCTTCCCAGTGGTCTCTTTCCTTCAGCCTTTCCCACCAATATCCTATATGCATTCCTCGTCTCCCTCATTCGTGCTACATGCCCCGCCCACCTCATCCTCTTTGATTTGATCATTCTAATTATACTTGGAGAGGAGTACAAGTTATGAAGCTTCTCATTAGGCAGTTTTCTCCAACCTCCTGTCACTTCATCTCTCTTCACAGAGAGTGTAGTTAAAAGAAACATAAATAAGTATAACCTCACCGGAACGAAAGAGGACGATTGCTTTAAGGCAGGCAAACTCAGCGGGATCGACTCCGATGGCCTTGAACCGCAGCAAAGTGTCGTTAAGAATACGAATGTCAGCAGCGACCTGGCTGTCCTTGCCGTTTGGCGCTCCTGAGGCATGATCCGACACCGAGAACAGAGGACTGGACTCCAGCGGCATACACCACTGAACGGCGTTCAGCAGGAATAGCTCTGCCCACGCTTCCTCTAGAAGTATCACCTGGAACGGAAGTTGCATGAAATGGAAGCCTGCTTTTATCGTAACAAGTCTCCAATGCAAAGAATAAGGAGGTAATCAAATATCCCCATAGAACAGAGTCATTCTTGAGAAGTTAAGAGCCGCCGAATTACGCAAGAAACTCAACATTTTACGAAGTCCGAACGTTCGTTACTGTGTTGATAAAGAACATCTCTTTTCTATTCTGAGCCACAGGAATCCAGTGCAAATCTGCAAACTCTGTTTCTTTAAAGTCCAGTTTAATATTCTCCTCCCGTCTACACGCATATCTACCAATACATCTATTCTTTTCAACTTTTCCAACAAAAATTCTATATTCATTTATGATTTATATGTCTCGCCCATCCCATCGCCCTCAATTGGATCACCGGAGCCCTCTAAAATATTTACTGATTATTTATAGAATAGACTGCCAAATTTTACCGAGTTTAATGTGACAAGAGCACTACATGCCTTGTATCAACTGCCCTCTCAGAATTCCTTCAACTTTCCCGTAAAGGTGCGTCCACATTACTCGTGCTCGTGCTCGTGCTCGTGCTCGCCAGGCTTGTTCTCGTCGGGAGACTAGTCCGGCTTTTACTTGTGCTCGTAAATCTTCGTCCACACTACTTCAGTTCCTCGCCAGCATTCGGCGCGTGAGGATCCGTATATTTACTCATAGTGTGTATAGGCTGTAGTCGCATTTTAATATATTGACTATAGTTTTTAAATTAAAAATTTTAAATTTGCTTGTCTCATGACTTGTCATATCGTCCACATTACTCGCGAGCACAGCGAGTCACACGAGGACGAGTAATGTGGGCGCGCCTTATGAGTCGACTGCAGTTGGTGTTGCTGCTTTTCGTAACACTGGACGTCACTAGATAAAACGACTGGAATAGAGATGGGTTCTGGCGCACTCAGCATGCCACGCACACCTTCATGTAATCTGATGTATATTTTTGGCAATTAAAATTCATTTAAATTCTCTAACTATAGTTTTCACACTCTAACAACCAATGACTAATACGACCAGCTTTAATTAAATGAAACGAAATACTAGATATTCGTGCATAATATAGGAACATATTGCAGGTATTTACAAATATAAGGTAAAGGTAAAGTTGTCCTGTGTTTAACTAATTAAGTACTACGTCATGAAAGCGTATGGGGGAGTGGATGTAGAGATCCATATTTTGTTGACCTCGGCACTAGCTGGAGCTGAGTTGTCAGCTTTACGCCCCGGCCAATTTATCCCCGGTACCCACTGGATAGGAGGTTGGGTGGAGGCCAGAGCCGGTCTGGACGACGTGGAGAAGACAAAATTCTAAACATTACCGGGACTCGAACTCCGAACCCTCGGTCGTTCAGCCCGTAGCCATCGCTATACCGTCTACGCTGTATTCTCGTTTTTAGGGCACCTGACATGGAGGTTTAAGGAATTGTGAGTATTCTTCGAGAACAGTCAGAGAATAAGGCCATGCAGAACGATAAATGTAAAGAAAAAAAACGGTAAATATATACCGATTATAATCACTGAATTAAATATCAGTATAAGACGTAACAATTTTAGTAGATTATAATTAACCGGCAGTTCAGAACTCCAATATGGAATTAACACTGTAGATAAAGTATGCAACGCGCTTTCCGTAGTTTCCACGTCACAATGGCGGGAATTGCAGCGTTCCTTTAACTAAAGTGCATGGCGGGAATTAATTGGCTAGTCCTTTACTGTTCAACTTAGAAAATATCAAACGACAGGGAAGGTAATTTTTTTTTATAATTTTTCGTTATCAATGATGAAAATATAGTTTATTGTAAGAGTCAGTATAGGGCAGTTTTCAACAGAAGTGACAATTTTCCTGTCAAAATATTTAGAAAACTCTGAGTGTGAAGAAACTACTCGCGAAGAACCGATAAGAGAAAGACACCTGAAGAGTGTGGAAGTGAAATATGCGGATAGAAACTCAGAATATAAATCATGCGACCAATTTCCACGCACACGACACGTACGAATAGCATGCAGCTGTGACACAGAAGATGGTAGCTTCTAAAGTTGTAAACATTAATTTTATTAAAATATTAAGGAGCTAATCATAAAAACCTGATTTAGGAGGAAATTATGAGGAGATTGAATTCAGGTAATGTTTGTTACCATTCAGTCCACAATCTTTGTCTTCCCATCTGTTGCCTAAAACATAAAGATCAGAATATAAAAATTATACTTTTTCCTGTGGTTCTGTATGGGTGTGAAACTTGGTCTCTGACATTAAGGGAGGAACATAGACTAGGGGTGTTTGAGAACAAGGCTCTGAGGAGAATACTTGGAACAAAGAGGGATGAAGTGACAGGAGGTTGGAGAAAATTGCAAAATGAGGAGCTTCATAAATTGTACTCTTCTTCAAGCATATTTAGAATGATCAAGTCAAGGAGGATACTGGAAGCGCATTTAGCACGGGTCGGTGAGAAAAAATGCATATAGGATTTTGGAGGGAAAGCCTGAAGGAAAGAGACCACTAGGAAGAACCAGACGTAGGTGGATGGATAATATTAAAATGGATTTTAGAGAGATAGGATGGGCTAGTATGGATTGGATTGATCTGGCTCGGGGTAGGGACCGGTGAAGGGCTCTTATAAACACGGTAATAAACCTTCGGGTTCCATAAGATGCTGAGAAATTCTTGAGTAGCTGCAGAATTGGGTGCTTCACAAAAAGAGCTCAGCTCCATGAGTGAATGAGTGAATTAAGGAGTTGATCTGCCATTACCATTTTTACTTGAAATTTGATGTAAACCATACTGACAATAACGATAAAATGACCACAGTGTTTATGTTAAATGAGATATAAACGAGTTTTGATTAAAATAAACCAAAAGTTCATGAGCAAATATGTAAGCCAGATGTGGTGCAAGTACGCCACGCGTCTGCTCCAACAAAATTTCAGGATGTACCTGTCCGAGGTCTAATAATTTTCAATGACGAATACAAATTTTGAAACTCTTCATTGAACAGTTTTCTTCAGAATCCTTTCACGCCCATACATTAAATCCAACATTGTATTTCATCGGTTCTAAAGTAATTTCTTTTTCCATTTTAAACTTTGTGAAATCTGGGCGCGTCTCATATTTGATGGCGTCTAAATAAGCGCGTCTAGAATTTGTGTTGTAAGATTGCAACGTAAGGTTAATGTTCATATTCATAGCACGAGTCGTAGGACACTAGATACGAAGATAACAACAAAAGACATCCGAAAATATTTGTAAATATTTAAGTTGTGTAGAATGTCTTCATGTACGACAACATAAGAAGCACCTCTTGGGGACCTAGAGGCTGAAAATACCAAGTAATTTTAATATTAACTCTGTGACGAAGGGAGATTTGTTAGCTTTCACTTTATTGCCTATGTTCATTGCTGCGTGGGACAAGCGGTAACGTAATTGGTTGAGGCACTGTGCTACAAACCGAGAGGTCGGGGGTTCGAGTTCCAATGAACTGGGAATTTTCAATTTACCTAATCCTTCCAGCCGAATTATGGTCCTGGGGTCGACTCAGCCTCTAACAGAAATGAGTACCAGGATTCTTCCTGGGGGATAAAGGGCGGTCGGCGCGTAAGACTGACAGCCTCGCCGCCATCTGTGAGCCAACTGCCCAGAGAAATTGCGGGAACCTTAATGTCTCACAACCCTATGGGCCTTCGCGGCCTGTTACAGGGATAGTTTCATCTCTTTAATATCACTGTTGCGTCTTACGGCTTTTCTTATGTTCAGAATACGAGAAAGGAAAATTGAAGCGGGTATTTTGTTATCGTTGGTCATCCAGTTATCGTCTCAGATCGCTGTTGGATACCATTAGTTCTAGACATTAAAGTATTTCAATGTTTACAGGAAATTTAAAACCCCAGATCATCATCATCAGTAATCTGTCAAGACGACAGGTCCACAGTCTCTTTCAAAACAATTCCTCCACTTAATGCGATCTACAGCCTTCTCCTTCAAATGAAGAAAACCCCAGATACCGCATGTAATTGCCGCTTTACATTAAATTTGAATTAAAACAAAAAATCAATATATATTGAGCAAAGCACCTGAATAGAACTGTAGGACTCAGACTTGCAATACATGAAGCAGCCGTCAGTTGGAGGAACGATCGTGCTCTTAAGCTGGTAGTGCTACAGCCCTCCATTTCGTCAAAGAGACGCATGCAAAGGCGATGACTTTATTTCGCGGCAGGATATGCAGAAATAGGAAACAGAAACTGCCGAATCATGCAGAATACATATGGCGCCTGACTGAGGCTGCTGCGACAGATTCCTGCTACATGTAGGACTGTCACCCAGGCATCAAATATCCATCTGTCAATAGATTCCATCCGATTTTCAAGAGAAGATATTAAACTTCTAGCAATTATTTATTCAGTTAAAGAAAAAACAAAACTCTGCGTTTAAAGCATACAGGAAATGTAGATGATGAAGCGGTGTATTTTTATATCCCTCGAAATTACTCTGTTGGTGCCAAAGGTGATAAACAAGTTAGAATTTGAGGCATTGGTTATGAAAATCAGCGTGTAACCGTGATGCTGCGAACAAATGCTGAAGGTAATAAAATATTGTCTCATATTTATCTCAATTGCAAAATTATTTGTGAGAATGTTTCATGACGATATGATTATGTGTGTGTAAAATAACTGGTGGATGACAGAAAATTTCATGGAAGGTCTGGTGAAAAAATTTCGAAAAGGCGCACTGGAGCTGTCTGTAACCCACCAAGTTTGTTGGTCCTTGATGCCTTTCATGGACGGTTCTCTGAAGAACTAAAGGTTAAAATTTGGAGGTAGAATCATCGCATTACGCACTCAATATTTCTGTCAATAAATATTTTAAAATTATTTAAGGGAGTAATACGGGACTTTAATTATTTTTCTTATTTCTAGTGGGGTGGGACTAAGTCCCTTCTACTGCGGCTACTTGGCCTACTGTACCAGCTCCAGATGATAGGTGAGGGTGATTGTGGAGCAATTGGTGGAATGAAGATTGGCAAGGGAAACCGAAGTACTCGGAGAAAACCTGTCCCAACGCCACTTTATCCACCACAAACCCCACTTGACCAGATCCGGGATCGAACCCGGGCCGCCGGGGTGGGAAGCCAGCTTGAGGTATGGCGCGGCCCAATACGGGACTTTGTTGCTCTCTGAAAAAGTTCCACAATTACCATCTATTAATCACTGGGAAATTTATCAGAAATATGTTTTAAGACTTTACTATAGGTTTCACTTAAACACATTCTAATCAGCCTAAATAGTTTCATTGTACTCCCATTTTTTCTCCAGTATCTCACGAATGTAGGCCATATGATCAATAACTGACCCGTTATAACAAACCTACACTGATGATCTCCCAAAAATTTTACCTCTGTATGGATTTAACCTTAAGAAAAAGGATTCTGAGTGAAGTTTAGTGTGAAGTTGATAGCAGTGATATCCCCCGATAATTACTACAGTCAGTTTTATCGCCCTTGTTTAAAATTGTTGCAATAAATGGACTCCTTCCACTGATCAGTCAATTCTTCCTTATTCCAAATAGGATTAATATGTTTATGGATCTCACACCACAATATTTCTCCTCCTGCTTGAATAATTTCTGCCGGAATTTGATCCCTACCTGGAGATTTATAACTTTTCAAATTTTCAATAGTGAATTCAACCTCAAAAGGACTAGGATCAGGTACTAATTGCTCAGCTGTATGCATTTCTATCCGCCTAGCATCACTAAGCCTATGTACATGCAGTAACTGCTATATGTACTGAATACTATAATGTACTGGTATTCTATGTATTGGTTAACCCTATATACGTAGTTATTTTGTTGAAGTAGTCGACCTGAAAATGACACCCATGCCGGAACCTGTTGTCCTAGACCGCAACTCCACCTGCTGGAAATGCTATTGTGTTGACAGGAATAAAAGGAATATTGTCTATAATGACTTACAGAACAGGGTGCAACAAAATACGAGTACGTATGTTGTGCCCAAATTTGTTGCTGACAACTGAAACATATTCCCATGGCAGAGTGTGCTGTTTAGTTAGAACGGATGCAGGGTGTGTTTGGTACCTGGTCTCGAAACGGAAGCCTTGCAAATGAGGGCAGGTTCTTGGCCCACTTAACGGCCATGAAGAGTAGCCGTGCTGACGTCTCGTACACGGTCTCCTGGATAGGCGGATAGATAGCCGCTGGTTCGACTGGACGCTGCTGTGAGGCCAGAGACGAAACTGTGGGCGTCGGTGCAGAGCAGGTGAGTGGGCGAGGCGTGGGGGGCAAAGTCTCCTCGTTGGTTACGTCTATACTGTCCTCTGAAATCGGAATATTAATGTAAGTCAAAACACATAAACCTTCATGATGTAAAAACCGAGATTCAAATTGGAAACTTCTGGAACGTGTTGGAAAAGTCGGTGCTGTGTCAACAAAATTTTAGTGAGAGAAAGATAAAGGTGAACAAAGAGGGAAACACAGATGTGGAAGCAGAGAGGAAAAAGGAAAAAGGCGAAAATAGCCTAAGAGAAAAAAGAATTATGAACACCCGTTCAGTGTAGCAGTAATAGTTTCGAGACTATCCCCGCGCTACCTACTGTGAGACGCGGAGGAAGAGCAGTGGTGGACGCGTGCGAGAGGGCTGTGTATGGTATATACTAAACCAAAGGAATTTCTGAGGACTGTCGGTGACTCCAGGATCTACTTTATTGCGACATCAGTCGTTCCATGGTGGGGGGGGGGGAGGCGTATCGTAGTTTGACCGTAATTTGTGGATTTAACAACTAAAAATCGTTTTTATGTTACTGCTACACTTCTATATATATTTAGGTACCACAGATACAACACAGCGATACAAGAAGGCGTACAACGTTCATCGCTCCTGTTACACTGCCTGTACTTCGGTTATCCAAGGCACGTCAACGACTGGTGAGCTGTGACCATTTGGCAACCTGTCTATCGTCCGAGAGAGATGGCGTCGAGACAGAAATTTCATGAAATTACTCTCAACAAAAATTAATTTTGGTTATACACGTATTTCGGAAGGCACTTGTAAGTATTGTATCACTTAATGGTGACCAGTTGGATGGTCGAAACATCTAGTGATGATTAATAAACAGTTTAATGAATACATATTCTTAGATTTGCTTAGACGGAACACGGCAAGGCTAGTCCCTTTGTTTTGAATTCACGTAGAATTGTTACTGCAGCCTCAAGTTCAATATTCCATACTCTTCTTGGTATATGTCCAAACAAATATATTTTTGAATTTCGATACAGTACGTACCATATGACAGACTGAGCATAATTTTTCCTTATATCCAATTGCCAACATTGCTCCCTGTCGGATTCTTCCATTTCATACTCCTTTTCTTTCAGGGGGCACGCGTGGCGTACTTGGTTGAGGCACTACGCTACAAGACGGAAGGTCGCGGGGTCTAGTCCAGATGAGGTGGATTTTTTCAACTTACCTAATCCTTCTAGCCGAACTATGGCCCTGAGTTCGACTCAGACTCTAATAGAAATGAGCACCAGGAATATTCCTGGGGGTAAAGGGCAGCCGGGGCTAAGGCTGACAAACTTGCCGCCATCTATGAGCTGATTGTCTAGAAAATGTGGGAGCCTCAACATCTCAAAACCCTATGAGCCTCCATGGCCTCTTATAGGGGCAGTTTTACTTACAGTTACTTATCCTCTTCTGTTCGGTGTTAAACGAAATCTTCACACAGACCAATTTATCGTCGTTATATAGCCTTTCGTTGAATTAGTGAAAAGCAGAATTTCAGATTCTGAGGCGAGTATGTAAAAGACGTAAGTGGCTACGTTGTAGACAGTCGAAATCAATTTTATGGCAGGAGAATTAACCCTTATGTTTGCTGACAGCTTCATGTATGTTTTTCCTTTGACTTCCTTTCGACTCTGAAAAATGAAGCGACATATTCCTCCGAAATGTCAGTTGACTTTCAACGGGCTACATGGCGTTATATCAAGGAAGATAAACGTCTTCATAACCGAGTCTGTTAGAAACTAAAATCTTACAATACTCCTCACTGAAATCGTGTTCGGTCCCGATCTGGCATCCTACTTCCATCCTGATGGTTAGAGGGTCGAAGGAATTGGAGCGCGAAACATGCCACTCGCATAAATCTAACGTCAGATTAAGAATATCTGGAATGTAAATTTCACTGTCCCTCTGCACTTTCAGGGCAAAATTCTTAGTGACAAGAACAGCATAGCCTTCGCCTTTATGCAGAACGCAGTGAATTTCTTTGCTCCCTAGGACGAGACAGACATACAGATAGACAGACAGACGTTCTTCCTTCAATTAATGTCGACGCATGAGACATAAGATTGTTTCAAGGCTACGCTCTTCAGAAAATTGAGTCTAAAATGTATTTTAGGTGAAGAAAGATTGGTACCTTAGTGAAGAATATAAAAAGAGTTGACAGAGTAAAGTTTAAACGCCTAGATATTAATTCTTTTTCTTGCTCCATTTCTAAAACTTGAGAACAAGGATGAGGAGGCTTAGTTACTTTCTTCGGAATAGAGCCTTAACTTTGTATAACAACGTTATATCCTGACAGGAGCTTCCAAACCGTGAAATGAAATCACTTTCTTAATTAATTTTAGTTCCGTCGGGAGTTGACACCAATTAGTCATTTTAATCTGGCGTATTTTTCCCCCCTGCGCTGTCCTTCCTTGTGTTTATATTAATCACAAAGGCGGAGAGATTCAACTGTCAGAGCAGCTCCTGCAGTTGAATACAAGAGCACTCTTGAACCAAAGGCGGTCACTGTCACCCAAAAATAAATCGTGTGTCTTAAGGAGGAACTAGCTGTCATGGTTATTATTGGGTATGTGAATCGTATCAGTGAGGTTCCGTGTTCGATTCTCTCCTCGCATGTCAGGTATCCTATCTGAAGCTCTTCTTCGCATTCCTCAGCTCATCAAGTCTACTTCTGGGATATTACGTTAAAGAATACAACGGAAACTTCTATTCTCAACGTTCCCGAGTCACGATTCTCAATAGTTCCTCCAGTCGATCCCATACACACTATGTAATTGAATAATGTAGGATTTGAGGTTCTCACAGCCGTGGTTAGGAAGGGTCTATCTTCTGGGATATAGCGCCGTGTAGGATCTGAGGTTCTCACAGCGGTGGTTATGAAGAGTTCTGTCTCCTGGGATATAGGGCCGTGTAGGATCTAAGGTTCTCACAGCGGCGGTTAGGAAGAGTTCTATCTTCTGGGATGTACTAGCATATAGTCCGTTTGAAGCTAATCGAAGTTTCGGAGGAATATAGCGACTCAATTTCCTCTGTTCCTGTTTTCAAATGTCGCCATGAAAACATGTTTATTTGCGAAGAGTCTACTCAGTAATGGTTCTTGTATAGCTTTTTCTTCGTGATCGTTTCCTAGCAACGGGTTTGCATGGTATAATATTGATGTTTCTTATTTCCAGTTTTTCTGTGATTCCTTCTTCAATTTTATGATTTTTCATTACGTAGCCTGCGACTGCTCGAAGGAAAGGTACCTGCCCCTCTATTCTTTATTATTGTTCTCTGATTTGCAACACTGAGACACACATAAAAGCATAGGTATGGCTATTATGCTACAGAATATTAGTAGCACTTAATTCAAGTTCTTCATAATTTTGGCTTAAGAAATCACTTCAATGTATCATGAGAAGAAAACAGAAGTAGCTTACAAAGTGAAAAGTTGTATATGTGCCTAAATTTCGATGGGCAGCTAAATTGTTACTTTCTTTTACACAAAATGAACTTATAAATATTTGCAAAGTGCTATTCTTAGAACACCTCTCGCAAAATAAAATGGGGCTAGTGTCCCTCCTGCCTTGCAATTTCGCAAGGCTGCCATGTTGGTATTAACGATTGTAGGACTCACGAAAGTGACTTTCTTTTAACTGTATACTCTTTATAATAAGCTTCATAAACAAAAGCCCATTGAGGACGGGAGCAGGTACACTTACAGACATTCAGAGACCTATCTCAGTATACATACATAGGTCGTATACAATAGTAATCTTATAGACCTGATGAAACTGTAACAAATGGTGCAGTGCCGTGTATCAGTAACGCTCTAGACTACATTTGTGAAGGCGATCAGTTCGATTTCCGTCTGCACGCCAGCTGTTCTGAGGTTTCCCGTTATTTTCAAGTACATACATACATACATCTGTATATCCACTCCCTCATACTTCTACATGGCATAGTGCTTAATTAGTTAAGCACGGGGACCACTTTACTTTACTAACTGCGTTTTGTTGACAGAGCGAATTTACATATTTCAAATGATTTGGAATGAAGAGCTGTTAACTTCCACTATCAACATTAACCAGTTGATCTCTGCAATGGAGACTCAGTGTGTTGTCGGTTCGGTATAAATTGATTTGTTCAGGATTATTTAGATGAATTTAAGATTTCCATTGGTTTAAACTGACAGGCAAATTGTCTATATACACACACTATTTCAGAGAGTGAATATTATAGAAAGCTTTCAACAAGGACGAAGCTGTTCCAGAAAAAGAAGATAATTAAAAGCGAGGTACACTCTTTGTTGCTGTGTGTAGTGTGAAGGAACGCGAGACAGTTGATCGATGTGACGCTAGGTTCAGCCGATCGGTCGCCAGCTCAGCTCAGCGTCACATCAACATCCCTGCTGCAGAGGGCAGGCGTCGGTGGACAGCAGCATCCCAGTGCGTGTCCTGAAGACATGTAGACATTCCTAGAGCTTTCAGTAAGCTTGATGACATGCTCGTTAACATAGTTGTTTGCATTCGGCAGGTCAAGTGTTCCGCCTAGGTTTGCGTCTAGGTCTCTATTCTGAAGGCACCGGGTTCCAAAGTCGACCAGTCTACAGGCCATGTTACCAACATTACACCACTCAAAGTTACTGGGTTTGGTGGCTTTGTCCATCATTCGATATTCTATGAACTAATACTGATTCTAAAGGGTTGTCACGATGGTGCATAAAAAAGTTCTGGATTTTTGGATTTTGTCCATCGTCCAGTATTCTAGAAAACGCGACGTTTCGAAAACTGGATTTCTTTCCGTTATCAGATGTGGGGGGGGGGAATACACCTACTCAGTTGGGTCCCTTAGAAAGTGCCGACCTCAAGGGACCCAACCGAGTAGATACCTTCCACCTACACCTGAGGGCGGAAAGAGGTACAGTTTCCGAAACGTTGTGTTTTCTAGTTTCTAGAATACTGGACAATGGGCAAAGTCCAAAAATCTAGTAACTTTCTTATGCATCATCGTCATAACCCTTTAGAATGAATATTTCCCCGGCGAAAACTTCGA